ATGTATGTTACGATGCTGTCACAATGAATAATTTAGTAAAATATAAACCAGAACTGTAGAAAAAGTTAGGGCGAACGAGAAGTACATTAAGTGTAGTTTTACAATGTAACAGTTATTTTCTGCACAAGTCGATTCAAGCACAATATTATTAGATGTTTGTTTGTATCACAGTCGTCGATTCTGCTGGAAATAGCTCTCTTCTGTAGCAAGTTATTCCAGTTACAGTCAACCTGGTTGCTGCAATCTGCTTTTTCAGAGAGTAATTATTTTTGAAATATTTGATCAGCTAGTCCAGGAATGCTAGCAGGAGAACATGAACTTTAAAAATGTTGGTGTAATCAAGACTTTGAAGCTCGAATATTTCTCTTGTGCAGTTATTTACACTATGCTGAAATACCGCGGAGTCTTTTAACTCGCACTTCCAGTAGTTCCAGGCAGGCAGCCTGCAGACAGAATTCTTGTTTTAATGATTCAACCTTCAGACTCAAAAATGCCCCGAAACCAAGCATGAAAGTATGTGTGCTGGGCGATCAGCAGCACTGTGATGAGGCTAACACATGTGGCATACCATGCATGAATGCAGACGATCTGAAGAAATTGAACAAAAACAAGAAGCTCATCAAGAAGCTGGCGAAGGTTTGACTGTCCATCGATTAATCCAGAAGGCTTGGAAGGGTAGGGGCAGAGGTGGTAAGTTTGGGTTTGATGGGACTCTTATGTGGTGGGTTTTTCCTCGTGGTGGATTGGCATATTACAGGGCTATGATGCATTTCTGGCATCGGAAGCTTTGATCAAACAGATTCCGCGCATTCTTGGACCGGGACTGAACAAGGCCGGCAAGTTCCCGAGTGTCGTCTCTCATTCGGAGTCGCTAGCGGCCAAAGTTGAAGAGATCCGTTCGACAATCAAATTTCAGATGAAAAAGGTTAGCGCTTACAGAATTATTCGGCATTAAAGGCATTGCATACACTTGAAAAACCTGGAGGAGCTGTTAATTCATAGCTTGGATCTCCCCCTGCAATGGTTTCTTCTTCAGCGACTACAGTCCTATTCCTTCCGCATCCACACCTCTCCATAATCAATGAATTCAGCTCAGCATTGTTTATAAGTCGTGAAAATTGTTAATTTTCCAGTGATAACAGGCTAAAATCCATACTTTTAAGGCAGCTACTGTGTGACGATACTTAGATTGCCTTCTTGTCTAAGAAAGGGCAGAGGGAGTGCAGCTAAGCGTTCAGAAAGGCAGCGGAATGAAAAATTTGGTTGTTTTTTTGCTAGTGGATGGTTGCTTTTGATA